TCCTACATCTGTTGTAGCTGGGTGACTTATCCCTTGGTGATCTGGGACATCAGTCCTTTTTCAGCTGGGTGCTCAAGTCGTTTGTCTTGTTGCTTGCCCCTGTGTAAAAGGATGGCTACTTCCACGAAGCTGGAGAAGAGGAGGAGCTGGGTTGGTTTGCCACTTTCTCATCCACATGTTCAACTCTCCATGAGTAGGTCTTGAGGATGAAACAGGCTAAGGTGTTGGGCTCATGCCACAGAGCTGGTCCATGGAAGGAAGATAGGCAATCTGGCGTCAGTTTGGGAATAAGGATGGCAGAGATGAGCGAGGCGAGGACATAGAGATTGCATGAAGTTAGGGGGAGATCCCAGATCAAGTGAGAAGCAAGAAAAGACAAACTCAGAAAGCACCAGGGAGTCTCTCAACTAGGAATACGTTTGCTGTGGTTCATTGACAGAAAATCCAACAGCAGGAAAACCCCTCTTCCCACAGAGGCAGTTGAGCTGGCTTCAAGGGCTTTGCCAGGTACCCACCTTGCCTTCCCCAGAGGGGAAAGGAGTGCCAGTGAGGAAGTGGTGAGCAACTCGGTGACCACTTAACACAAGGTACCTGTGGCCCAAAAGGCTGTGCAGGAGCATGTGGAAATGGGGCAGAGCAGAAGCTGGGGGGAATGGGCTGGTTGTGGCCTCTCTGCCTCTTGGCAGGGCTGCAGGAAAGGTCAGGCAGAATGTGAGCTGGGCATTGAATTAAGCCTGTAAGGAGACACTCGGGGAATTTAAGATGGATTAACGTAAGGTGTAAAGTTTAAAGCATATTATTGTGACGGAGGATTAAGCTAAACTGAGCTAATGACACCACTTTTGAATGTGTATCCACACAGTGGATTCAGAGCTTTGGCTCCATGCCTTTTATTGCTTAAATGTACTTACCTTCTTAAATGTCCCCATAAAGATACAGGCCCTTATATTCCAGATCTTCACATTTTCCATTTTCCATGTTGACAAGTTTATATGCTTTGTAAAGGTAGAGCTGGTTTTGGTTGGTTGGGTTTTGCCCTTCTTTGTATTTCATTTACTCTTTCAGCACACACACACACAGGGCAGGGGTGAAGGCAACGCAGAAGTTCGTTCTAATTTTTCCCCATGGTGGTAAAGGCATTTGTGATGACTTCATGGTATTTATTCTTAGATGAGGCATTTGGTAAGGAAGAAATAACTGTCTTTTTCCTCACGTTATGTTGGCATGCCCTGACTTCTATGGTCTGTATGTCTTCTAGTATGTGAGCTTTTATTTTGTTGTTACTGTCATGGTATTGGGCTATCTGCAATATCAGCATCTGAATTTTCTAAAAGCTCTGTACCCTCTTATTTTATACTGTGTCAATTACAAATCAAGTGCAAAGTTGAATACTGTCAATTCCCACAATATGTTTATTTTACATTAAGCAGAGTTGTGAATTAACTAATATAGGAATACTTTGTAAATAAGTAATAAATTAGCTGAATTGATTTTTCAGGAGGGAAACGGATTTGAAATTACCGGTTTGCTGGATGTTAACTAAACTACTTAGTAACTAGTTCCGTGTATAATTTTATGTCACTATAAGCAATGCCATCAGGTTTTCCTTGAGGGTATACTAGAGATCAGTATTTGTAAGTAGATTAAAGACTGTTTAAGACAGACAAAAACATACTAAAATTCTTCCATCTGGACAATTGTATAAAAGCAAAACAAATAAAAAATCCCATAAGAGAGACACAGGAAAATGTTAAAGGTTTTGAGTCAGGATGCTTTCAGGTTCTCTCTTGCAGAGGGTATTTTGCCATATTGTTAGTGAAAATGTAAGAAACCTTAGACAAAACCTCAGAAAGTGTTGTTTCTTTGCTGTGTGGCTTGTAGTATCGCATGAAAGATCTGACGCTTCTCATGTCTGTGGTTATCAAACACAGGCAGGGATGGTGGCAACTACTTACATTGTGAGGCTGGAGAAACTAACTTTGGCCTGCAAAAGTAGTAATGGGTATAATGGACTGCTCGTGGTTTGAATCCTGACGGTATTTAGAAGTCTGAGAGATACCTTAAAATGTTGTGGGGTTGTTGTTTTGTTTTTTTTTTTTAATACAGATACCACTTATTAATCATTTGTTTTTCAACTTCAGTACATATGCCTACGAGCCTGCTGGGAGAGGCCAGTTAGGAACCACCATTATCAGTATCCTAGACCTGATTTTGGTACTTCTGGGAAGAGTGAGGGAAGCAAGAGCAGTGGGAAGGGAGATCACTCTCTGGGGTCTTTTGGGGTCTTTTTCTCCAGCTGTCTCTAGGTCAGCTCAGAGGTACCTGCAGCTATTCTGTAACAACCCATTAGGAGGACCTCAGGCTGGCTTAGGCTGATGTCCCCAAAGGAGGGTCGGCAGAGTCATGCGGTGGCCAAATGTGAAGGAGTCCCCACCCCTGGCACACTCAATTGTTTGTGCTAAGGCCACATCCAAACACCAGGAGACATACAGGTGCTGCTGTGCTGAGTTGGCTGCAAGCCTTGGATGGTGGGACCCTGGGCACAGCGGCTTCAAAGCATCTTCAGTGTTCAAGGCCAGGTTGGTTGGGGCTTTGGGCAGCCTGGTCTAGTGAAAGATGCCCCTGCCCATGGAAGGGGGTTGGAATTGGGTCTCTGTTCCAGCTCAAACCTTTCTATGATTTCTGTGAAACGCCTGTTTATGTGCATCTGATGTCTTTTAATTCTGCAAATCCTTTTGTTTCACCCAATCCCAAAGAGAGACTCAGGGTCTCTCTTTGAAAGTGATCAGTATTGAGTGTACATGTGACATCTGTAAGTCCTCTGCAGAGCATGACTGGACTTGTGTGCTGGTGCCTGGGTTCATCCAGCAGCAGAGGCTGCTCTTCGCAAACAGAGGGCCAAGTGGAATTTCAGTCACCATCCAAATCATTCGAAGACAATTTTCTTCTACTCCTTTTCTTCCCTGCAGTCCATGGTGCATAATAAAAATAAATACACGTCACATGGCATTACTACTACTATTAAATTAAAAAAGAAAAAAGAGAGAAGCTGGAAGTTCTTAGTCTCAAGAAGAGGGTGGAGCAGGGAAAAGTGCAGAGCCATATAACAATGGGGAGTCTGCTTTATTAGTATTAAGGAGGGAAATAAAATCTGCTCTGGCAGTAGTGAAATAAAACACCAGGAAGATTATGTCAGTCTTTGTTTGCACACAGTATGATTCTTCTCTCTCACCAGCCAATTTGTATATTTGAAAAGGCAGTTGCTTGGTTAAAATAATTAGCTGAACTTCATCCAATTCCCCACTTATGTGAAAAAATGTTTGAAGAAATATAGACAATTGTTGTTGAGCAATTATAATGAAGAAAAGAAGTAGTGGTCACTGGACAATTATAGCGCCGTGTCTAAATACCCACATACATACTGTAGTTTCAAAGTGAGACAGACAGCTCTCGGTGACTCTTTGCTGTAGCTGCTATGTTTTGGGATAGTGGCTTTAGAAGCATAGCAAAATCCTACCTAATTCTTCCTGAAACTTGTGCAGTGTGGCTTAGCCTGGGGCTGCTTCAGAGAAGAGAGAGAGTCTGGAGCTAAATGTGTCCCAAGTATATAAAGCAAAAGAAAGAGTGAACTGAATGCAAGTCATGTGTCTTCATTATTTTATGCTTTTAAGCATAAAAGTCTCATTAGTGAATGAGACTGTCATCTTATATACTCCTTTATATATTCCAGATTATTTTATATTATTGTTTTGGAAAAAAAAACAAACCAACATACAGAATTTTTGAATATTTCAGGTTTTGAATAAGAGAACATTGCAACAATTTTATGAGGAATTCCCCATAGAAGGTCCAGTGTAGTATATTAGCATGAACTTCAGTGACAGAAAAGTAATTTCTTGTTGTTCCTACACATTCATGCCTGGAGCTACACCTGTAGCTTTTCCAGGAAAAATAGTAACGTGAGATTTTGAAATGGAAGTTACTTGGGAAGGACGCACAAGTGCTGGCCGAGGCAGCGGTCATCCCAGTTGTTTCTTAACTTCAGACTCCTCAGTAGACATAAAGGCAGTAACACAAAGTCATGCATTCTGTTTTATGTTTCTTAAACCACTCCCTCGTTTTCCAGACCTGCCAGTCGCGTTTCTGTGTTATTCAGGGCGAGAGAGTCAGGATGTCTGCTGACACAGTGGAGCTCTCTGATCCCAGGGCCCTGCTGGCTTGTGAACCCAGCCGTGCATGGTGGCAGTGGAGCTCCTTGTCATGAGTTTTTGTGTTGCCTAGGGCTGCAGGCAGCCTTGGGAGCTGCTGGGCTGGGGTCAGGGCCGACTGCCCCGAGTAGTGAGGGCTGCAGGTGTGAGGCTCTCAGTTCTCCTTAGCCATCCTTTCCCCCAGCCCATCTCTGCACCAGGCACTTCCAAAAGCCATTTCTACCTGTACATCAACTGATGGAGAATATATATAATTTAAAACATGCATGCAGTGGGAGTAGATTCCCCTGTTGCACCATTTCTAACCCTTTCAGCAGGCTCATGTCCATCAGGCAGGGCAGAGCTCAACGCTGACAATTCAAACACATTTTAAAACTTTTTTGTCACTTCATTAACATCATCGGTTTTGTTTCTAGTCCCTGTAGGAGGGTGGATGTTAATGCTGCCTGCAGTCTGCTGGGTGGCAAAGTGAACACAGCCTTCCATGCGGATGGTGTAGGAACTGAGCAAGGTGATGCCCAAGTCCCCCAGAGCTCACAGGCAGTGTGTTTTTCTGCCAGGCTGGGAGCACAGGGACCAGGCAGCCCTCTGGGGCTGGCAGAACTCCAGCTCCGTGTCTTTAGTCCCCAGCTCCCTTACCAAGCCTGAACTTTGCAGCCGTGGTTGTGTCTTACTGACCTCTGCACGATCAGTGCTTGGTTTCCAAGTCTCATGGTGCCTCGTGTGGGCTGCCCTGCGCACATTCTATTTTCCTGTATTTATCCTCTGGATTTTGCTTCTTTCTCTTTGCAGGGAGCGGATGCGCCAGTCTGCGATGTTTGAGCTGTGCCAGGGGATGCACCAGATCAGTCTGCAGTTTGTTCGCTTGCAGCTTAGCTTTGAGGAGTACACTATAATGAAAGTTTTGCTGCTGTTGAGCACAGGTAAGTTAGATTCGTGGTTACATGGCAATACTTGAAAATAATCCTATTCACAAAGTGGTGCAATGATTTCAACTAATGTGACAAAAGAGCCACACTGTTTCCATCAGGGCCACGGGAATAAGCCTGGTTTTATGTCTTGGGTTTATCTGCAGATCTCACTCTAATCTGCGTTAGCACAGGAAGTGTCCTTCCAGTTTGAATGTCGTGCATTGGAAGGACAGGAGTGGCCAGGCAAGGCCCTTCGCCCCCCTCTTTTTTCTGTACAGCAGGTGCTTGAGTCAGCCAGGCATGCTGAGAAAGTGCAATAGATATGGGAATTGAGGAAGAATCCCCACTCGACACTCAAAGCCGCTGGTTTGGGTGACTTAGTGTCACCTTCAAGATCAAAAGATGTACATTGTCTGTACTGTAGAATGGGTGATTTTCCAATGCCGAGTGAATTGAGAATGGTAAGCCCTGTTGCAGGGCACTGAAAGTTTAATAGATAACAGCGCACGCTTTATGTTTCTCTGGAGTGTCATACTTTGAGTTTTAAGATGCCAAATTACATCCTGGTGTTTGTTTCAGCACTGTGTAGTAATTAGCAGATCTCTTGATCTTAGTGAAAATATTGAAAAGCTCCCATCCCAGTACAGCTGTATAAATACACAGGCAGTTTGTACATTACTTTTCCATCAGTCTTAATGAAAAATCCAATTACCTGTAATCAAACTTGCTTCTGTATAATCATGCTCCTGTTTGTGGGATCCACTCAGTGACATCATGAGGAGATAACACATCAGCTCCACTGGCGGGTGTTCACGATGTCACTGCAGTGAACTCACCAGGCAAGAATTCCCCCGGCAGAAGGAGGCTGCCACGGGGAGAGGAGGAATGGAAGATCAAAGGGGCTGCTCTGCTTATTCCAGCTTTCACTTGCGAGCTGCCAGCAGCAAGACGCCTGCCCAAGGCTGCCAGGGCCAGGGGCTACACGGGCTCCTCGTGCCGCACAGAGCGTCTCCCCATTTGGTGGTGAGCAGAGCCCAGCGCACCCTTTCTTGCCCATCATCCCATCTCCTGCCTCAGCAAACTGGGAGGAGGAAGGAGCGAATGGCAAGAGATAGGTATTAGTTGTGCAGCATAGGAAGGTGCTTCCTGCTGAAACTGCTAAAGGACACCAGAGCGGGCTGATGCAGCAGCAGATTTAGACACCCAGGAGCCTCCTGAGGCCCAGCCATGGTGTGGGTGTGTTTGCTGTAGGCAGAGTTAGGTGCCTACGAAGGGATTTGCAGCATCCAGCAAATCCAAGTGGCAACCCCTTCAGGCAAGGCAATGGGATGGGTGTTTTTTCCCTTTCTGTGGTGCCTTTCATTCAGACGTCACCCATCCCACCCAGACGGTAGCTCTGTGGTTAAAGAACTTGCCTTTGAAAGAGGACGTGAAGCTGCAGTTCCCATCTGGCTGGAGGGGATTTGGATTCACTCACAGAAACCTCCTGGGGCTGTAAGTTTCTTGGGCTCAACCGTCTCCTCTCCCTTCTTCCCATTGAAGCTGTTCCAGCTCCCTGGGATGGGGATATATGCTGTCCATTGAGGGGCACTTTGTGTCCAGGCCTGTGGGGTCTGACCCCCATTCCCACTCCATCAAGGGCTGGAGGAGATGGGGTGCTGGTGAAACTGAGACTGGGGGGAGCCGATACGCTCTGGGGTAGCCCTTTGAGGCAAACAGGCTTTTTGAAGGTTGTCACTTGAGGTCTTTCCAGAAGGAGCTAGCAGTGCTAAATGTGGATATGCCTGGGGAAGGTCCAGCTCCCAGAATGTTCTTGAGAGAGTGTCTGGATTGGGATCTAGCTTTGCTACTTTTTAATCAGCCCTAAATGGGGGAGAATCTTTAGAAAAAGAGCCTAAAGGCGTTCTAGAAACACAGCAAAATTTCCTTTAGCAAGGTATTTGTTATTCTGCACTGAGAGTGTTGACTGATGACTTGGGTTATTGCAGGAACTTGTTAGGTGAGATCAGCCTGGCCAATTAACTTCAGCTAGCTAGGTCCCTTTGAAATATGCACAGGAGTCACTAGAAATCTTACTAAAAAATAGTTTGTCTGGGGAGAACCAGGGTATTTTTGAGGAATGGGAAATGGAGATGAAGACAGCAATAAAACCCAGACAGCGTCATGTGAAGGGCAGCAAACCTGGTTTTGAATGCTTACACCTTGATACAACCTTGTGACAGAAAACAGCAGGATTGTTTTCGTTTAAGGTTTTTTTTTATTGCATCGTGTGATGAGCAGAGAACAAGTTATTCTGCAACTTTCATGATGACCACATCAAGGAAGATTCACCCCATTTACATGTGGAAGAAACCACACATTACAACTCAATTGTTTTCTTGCTTTCCACAAACCATAGATTTTGGGAGCTTGCCAAAAGCATTGCTGCATTTAATAAGTAAAATCAGAAACACTGGGCAAACCTCCAGAATTTCATGTTTTGCTTGAGTTCTCTTTATTTGTGGTCTTTCTTTCTTAATAATCTGGCCAGAGTGATGGCATAATAATTTTCAGACAGAGCATAAAATACATAGTAGTAGACAATGAAAGAGTGCCTCTAACATTCTTAAGGCAATATGTAGGAATATAGGCCTGTGAATATTAAAGGTACTGTAAAGCCCATGCATTTTGTGTAAGGGCCCCAGTAGGCTCTGATGGCTTTAACTCATCTTGATTGCTGTCTCTATTTATTCAGCTTAAACTGAATTTGTACATCTGTTTCAGTTTCTTCTGTCAGCTGACTGACTCAGAGATTTGGCATCTGAAATTTTAAAGTTAAATATTACATGTATATAATATATGATACTTATGGATAGGTGGGTGCGTTACCTCCTAGGCTTTTTCTAAAGATTCCTCCTTGTGCCCTCTTCCAGCACTTGATGGTCACAAGACCTTGCAGTTTATGTGGTGGTAGAGCTCCTCCTTGTTTTTCATTGCCAAACTGCTCTGGTAGTAGCTGGTGATGGAAGATACTACTGGTGTTTTTTCTTAAAGCTTCTTCTCTGCAGCCATTTGGGCAGTGGTTACTTGCTTATGATGTGATTGCAGTGGGATAGAAGGCAGTTCACAGGATTTCAAAGAGAATGGAATGGATGAACAAGACAATTTCTGTGAAGATGTTAAGTCAGGGTAAGCTAAGTTGGAAGATCACCTATTTTTTCCTTTTTTAGTAAAAAGACTTCCCATTTAGCTTACTCTGACATAGCTTTCTGGCTTGCTTAGAAAATAAGCTCTTCCTGTACAGTTTAGCATTTTATTTTCCTTCGCTAGCCTAGCATTAAGAGATACAGAGTAGAAAAATATTTGATAGTTAAGCAGTACTAGAACACCAGAATGCTTCGTTTATTGTTATTAATAACCTCTTCGGGGTTTTCCTAGAGATCTGATCCTGAAAGCCATTCCTGTCTGGGGCAGAACCTGCAGTCTGTAAATAAACAGTGTATTTGCTTTTGTAATTAGCCTTCCTGGTATCAGTCACAGTAAAACGTATTGGAAGACTCTAACTGTTAGCCCATTTGGGAAATGATCCCTCTGGCAGATGGGAACTTTAATAGGACACTAGAAATGCTTTCTGCTCTATGGCATGGTCAAGCACTGTCTTGGGATGTTTGGAAAATAGTCTTCTGTTTAATGCAGAATAATGGCTCGGTCTGTTCTAGGTGTTATGCAGATGTTTACTAACATTCAAAGAAATGTTACTTGATGGCATAAAAACATTTCACTTGGTCTGGCATTTCTGCACATAACAGCTGTAAATCTGTACCTTCCCCTCCTCTGCCAAGTGTGGGCAATCAGTCAAGAATGTTAAATCACGTCTTCAACTTCTAAGAAAATATTCTTGATCCATCTGGTTTTTGGTTTTGGGGTGTTTTTTTTTGTGGTTGGGTTGTATTAAAAACAGTTTCAGCATGAGCTTAGAATGTGTCCAAGATGCCGTCTTGTCTTCTGCCACAGCTTCTGCAATCACAGATCTGGAGAGGATGCTTGAACTGCTTGAAAATCTGTATTATGTTGTTGATTCCTAACCAATGTCTGTAAAATTATGGACTTTGCTTACAGGTTTAATTCTTTCATCCATTAACTAGTGTAACTTTTTAAGTATGCGCATCAAAAGAATAAGCAATACAGTTAATACTAATATAAGACTGTCTTTTCAATGACAGTTCCCAAGGATGGTCTCAAAAGCCAAGCTGCATTTGAAGAAATGAGGGCAAATTACATTAAAGAACTAAAGAAGATGGTAACTAAATGTCCAAGTAACTCTGGGCAAAGCTGGCAGAGATTCTACCAACTGACTAAACTTCTTGACTCCATGCATGATGTAAGTATAACTCCTCAGGGAGTGCAGAAAAGTTAAGCAAAAATCACTCCATTAAGGTAAACCAGTAGTCTTTAATTGTGTTAAGAGGGAGGAAAACAAACATTTAAATTCTTTTTAAAGGAACATCTGGGAGAAGTTGTTAGATGAATTTAAGGACAGCTGCCAAGTAAAATAAGAAAATATAAGTCATTTAGGGCTGGGTCCTGCTGCCTTCTCCTATATTATGGTAGTATGTTCCTGCAATGATTCACTTAAGGTCAGTATAGCTATTAGTGGGGTCAGAGGTTCTTCAGTGGAAGAAGGGATGTTGGCTGTTGTTCAAAGTTAGATATGATGCAAGTGCAGCACGCAGAGTACCTGACGAGCTGCTCCTCAATGGAAGGTGCTGGTTTAGTGTCACTTACCCAACATGCCTGATGTGCTGTTAAATGTTAATTTGGTGATCTTTCATGGTTGGGGTTTAATAATGATGACTTTAAAGCTGTGTTAAGACCTTGGAGCCATCTTGGGTATTTAAAGCTTTATTTGAGCTTTTCAAGCATGGGAGTCACTGTGTTGTTAAGTTACTTTATACCCCCCGTCTCATTTCAGTGCAGGGGGTTTGTTTTGTATGCGTCAGGTGAGAGATGCGATGAATGACGTGGGGAAACTGAAAGTTTAGTCCCAGAACAGCCAGGCTGTTGTTGCCTCAGCCCAGGGTGGCTCTGAAGGGTTGTGGTAGGTGTGTAGTGCACAGGACCTGCTCGTGGCTTCAGAAGGTGTATCTCTAATGTTGAGCTGTGAGCAGCCCGGTTCTAGCCAGTGAATAAGTAAGTGCAGAGATTTACCTCTCCAGGTGCTTTGAGCAGCAGTGGGGGTATATCTCCGTGCTCCCCATAATGGAGCCTGGAGCACCTATAGAGGAAGCCAATGACCCAGAAGTGGTCTCCTCACCGCCTGGGCCAGTAGTGCAGCTAGTGCCCATCCTCTCTGAAGCTGTGCCGCCATGCAATGGGTGATGGGAGCCTCACGGGGCAAGTGATCTTTAGTCATGTTGGGGTGCAAGAGAGGAGGGATCCCATGAGCAGAGGCTCATCACCTCCGTGGTAAAGTGCAGCAAAGGAGAAAAGTGTCCTACTCCACCCTGGGTGGGCAGGGGAGTAACCTTGCTGCATGGAGAACCTACTGCACTTGCTTTCAGAGCCCGCATGTAAATGTACTTCTTTGTACTCAAATTTCATTTGTGTGGAGGCAGTACAGTACAGTACAGTGCACTTCAGGTCAGATCTGTGTAAGAGCCTGAGGTCTGTTTACAGAATGTACATATGGAATTATTTTTCAAATATTGTTCTGTTGTTCATTAAAACATTGCAAATCTTAGTGGGAGGCAGGGAGAGTATTATTAGTACTGCAGTAATAGCTCATTCTTCAGAGCTCGGGTTTCACTTGCTCCGTGCCAGCAAAGGAAGTTGTAGTGTTTTAGTGGAAAGAAAGGGGATGGGTGATAAAATCATTTGCAAGATATTCACATCTGAACCCCAGGGCAGCATAACAAACCCCTGCGTTTCTGGAGTTGTCTAATCCTCCTCAGAATAGGCAGTGTCTATGGTTGATTATTTAAATGGGTGTGTATGTGTGGTTAAGGTGACTTGGATGACAGGCTCACGCTTACTGAGAACGCTACCGTGTCCTGCAGACGTTTTCCAAAGCGCAACATTAACCATTGGGAGCTGGGCTGACTGGAGAAAGCAGACTGCTCTTGCGTTTTATTTCATTTTTAATTAAGCTATTTTTGTGTTTTATTTTAAGAGAGCGCTTTCTTACAAAGGACTTTTTAAAGAAAGTCCCATTGTCAGCATTCTCTGTTAAAAAGGCCGCTTGTCTGACAACAGTGCTTCCTTTCAGGGATGATGTTGGAGACTTGCTCAACAAAGGCACTTGTTTATTTTTCCTCTTTACAACTGATTTTTTTTTTTGCTTTTTGTTGTTTTGTGTTTTTTTTCAATGCATCAGAATAAATTGAGAGTGGTGATGATATTAATGAGGAGCGAGAATTTCTCTTCACCCCTGCACTGCCTGTTCGCGCAGAGTTTCTCTGTTTGATCAATGTATATGCAAATGTTCTGCTCAACCCCTTAGTTTAGGAGGAGCACTTTTTCAGCTGCCACCTATGCACTTTTAACTTACTCTGTTACAGTTTCAGAAGATCAGAATATAGTTGGTGCGGAGTGGTCTAACTGGAGCTGAGGCCCCGTGTTTACATGCCACAGTGTTGGCATTTGCAGTGCAAGCCCGAAGGGACCTGTGCAGAATTCATGCTTATTAAGCTCTCCTCCTGCCTCCAGCTTTTCCATCAGAGGAAAGCAGTATCCTGTCATTCACGGAGTTTGCTTTACCTGAGTGTAGCGATAAACAGTGAAAGAAACACTGCTCCTTTGCACCTTCACACTTGCTGTCATCAGCCTCATTTTTAAGTAGTCTTTTCTGAAGACTGTGTGAAATAAAGTGCGTGGGAATATCAAATTACAGTGTTTGATGCAGTACCAAATCACTTGGCTGATACGAGGAAGAAGACCCCAAACACAATGGGTTTGCGCTGCTCAGTGTACTAAATCATTCATCCACACAGTGAACATATGTGCAGGTAGAAAAGTGCCGAAGTGAGGAAAACAAATTTTCAAGAAGGCCAGGTAGGCACTTCAGCATTTGAAAGAATCAGCAACTGTAATGATCCATAAAGCCCCGAAGTAGCAAAAGCACAGCGGAGGAGTACGAGATGGAACCCGTCCTGAGCAGACAAGATAACCACGGTTTCCTTGGCTGGAGGAGCATGCCTGCAGGCTGATGGGTAGTTTGCGTCACTGCTGCCATGCACCAAAATGCTCTTTATTTGCATGATGCTGTGTGGAAGCTGTTGTTGCTGACACCCTTCCTCTCATGCAGCAGGAGACGAGAGGAGGAAAAGGTTGTTGCCATTTACTTGCTGCTGTGCACTGCTTCTGCGGATGGACCCCAGTGTGGGTATCTTCCAGTAGCGCTGACGGCAGCAACATAATCAATGTATTTAGATTAGATAAAGGAAAAAAAATCATCACTATGAGGGTGGTGAGGCACTGGCACAGGTTGCCCAGAGAAGCTGTGGCTGACCCATCCCTGGCAGTATTCAAGGCCGGGTTGGATGGGGCTTTGAGCAACCTGGTCTAGTGGTAGGTGTCCCTACCCGTGGCAGGGGGTTGGAACCGGATGAGCTTTAGGGTCCCTTCCAACCCAAATAATTCTGTCGTTCTATTTCCTTCTTGTAGGGATTGTATTTCTGCCATTGTGGTTGGGGGGTTTGTTACGTGTTGAGAACTGTAGTGTAGCAAGGACAACCAGCCTCCCTACTCAGGACATAAAGGTTTTGGGCCTTGGGCTCACAAATGGCCATGCGCATTGCAGGGAGAGATGCATATGCAGCACTTGGATGTAGGTGAACTGTGTTATGTGAGCAGACAAATGGCATTCAGGAACATTAGAAACAGATGTACTACACATGGTATCAAAAACTTCATTTGGATCCCCCTCAACATCTCCTGTTGGCTTTGGCAGGAAGGGTTGTATCTTGCATGGCAAGCCTTGTTTCATATAGAGAGTGTAGTGTGTATGGTTAGGCAGTTTGCAGAACAAAAGCTGAGTTTGGTTTCAATCTGGCTGATGCTAAACAGACTTTCAGTGAAGAGGGCTTTTGTTTCGATGCCATGACATTAAACCCTAATATGAACCTTCCCCTTGTCTTGGCAAGGCAGAGCACTGCACTGTCATTGCTTGTTGATATTTTCTGCCAAACACAAATAAATTCTTTAAGGCTCATGCTGCTGAATAATTAATTTTTTATGGTTCCTGAAGGGAATACTTTATAGCTGAGGTAGATCTTTCCATAGGCTGAGAGCGCCAGGATTATACTCACTGAAAAAGCTGACAGTGGGAAGCAGGGCACAGATCCTCAAGGGGCAGGTTTGCAGGGCATGCTGTGGTGGATACACATGTGCCTCTGCAGGTGCTTAACCCCACAAATACAAAACTGCAGATGAACCCCTCAGCTGTTGCCAATACCTTTGGGCACACTTACTCCTGCTACTGATCTGCCAAAGCTGTGTCCCATGGCTGAAGAGCTGTTTGGAGCCTTGTTTAGTGTCTGAATTCTCAGAGGAGGCATTTTCCCTGTATACTCAGAGGCTAGATCCAGCCCGTGCTTCTGGTGAGGCCCCCGGAAAAGCAGCAGCAATGAGTGTGCATGGGTGTGTGTTGCAGCAGCTAATACATGTCTGTCAAGTGAGAAATTGATTCCCAGCCCCCTAATGTAGACAGGGGCTTCTCTGAGGGTCATCTTTGCTCAGTATGTGATGGTTGGGTCTCCTCTCCTCTAATGGGTTTTTGCTGAAGGAGGGCAGAAACCCCCGCTATTGTTGACAGAAGAGCAAGGGAGACTTGGCCCAAAGTTCACCCTGGCCAAGGGCTGAGAATGCTTCATGGTGTGTGATGCCGTGGGTTTGCATGCGTGGTCCAAGCATACAAAATGAGATCATCTCAGGTTTCTCCATGTCATGGCTGGGTGTCAGGTGCTGTAGTTTCAGTGTGCACATGTCGATGAAGAGAAATGAGTGCAGTTCCTAAATCAGTAAATGCACCTGTCCAGGCAGAATTAGGTTCCACATTTGTTCTGGTCAAACACTGTTCATGCCTAATCCAGATGCATTTTTCCACCTTCTACTCCTTGCTAGCAAGAGGTAAATACACTGCATAGGTGTAACCAGAGGCTTCATCCCTTGCTCTTACTTTGTTTTCCCTGGGTTTGAGGGAGGTTTTGCTCTTTGGATTAGAGTTCAAGATTTCTTAAGCAGCTACGAATTAGCCACAGTGGTACCATAGGATATCTGTACCCTGAGAATCAGACTGTGAGCCATCCCGGGGGGGGGATAATTTACTTCCTGAGCCCTGAGAGTAATTAATTCATATCATGGGATTTTCACAGGACTGAGAGC